TGTGAATTTTACCTTTCTGCTAAAATCGCGCGAGTACAGGTTCCTCTTGATTTCATCGTCTTCCTCGTGAAACCGCCGCGTTCCGTTGATCATCTCCGCCGTGACGCTCGAGGGAATCCCGTGGTTTATGATATGGAAGAACCCCCAATTTTCACAAGCGTCTCGGATTTGATCGATGGTCTTCCCTCGCGATTGGGGGTTTTGGGCCGTCGATTCCAGATCTATTATTGGGATCCCCAAATCTGACTCGCCGGATTCAGATACCGCCGCCGCCGCCGCCGGTGATTCGATGGGCGACGTCTGGCTGTCGTGGATGAAGATTCTTGGGATTTTGGTAAGCCCTGAATCGGCTAAACCCTTCACTCCCAATTTGGATTCGTCGAAAGCTTTGAGCTCTGTTAGACGATCGTAACCGTCATCGTTAGACGAAAGATTTGTTTCTCTATGGCAACTGTTCATCTTCTTCTGTTTCTTTTGGATGATTTTTCTCAGTCGGTATCCCATTTTTAAATAGGATACTGTAGACTTATTTGATTAACGTGAATATTTAATTATTGATAATATAATAATCAAACATCGTGGATCTTTCCTAAGCTTAAATTAACTGGTGATGGAACGTGACAGGTTTATTAGATAAATTATAATAAAATTAACATGACTTGGTGGATAATCAATTGATATTTTAGCCCATAGCTTAGCTTGAGTAGGAATGAAGCTCTGTTGACCACCTGTCGGGTCTGTAAATCACGCCTTTCTCAGAGGAATCGTACGTGGCACTCTCTTCTCATATGGCTTCGTCATAGCATTAGGACCTCTCCTTTCCTTTGACCAATGGACCCTCAAACTAACGTATCATCTATTTCTATTCTTTGGTAAAGCACTTTATTTTCCTTCGTTGATTGATTCAAGGTAGCTGTAGCTTACTTCCAAATCCAAGCGCTAGCAATAGAAGCCAATCGTCAAGAGCTAATTTTGGAGTCGGTATCAAGTAAGGATGAATAAATCATCATTCAACTCAAAAAATTAGTTAAATTTAATTCGTATATATATATATATTCTTAATGGAACTTATGGGTTCCAAATCCCCGCTCTCAACTAAAAAAAATCAATATTTTAGTCCTCATTTAATGATCAAGCATCTTCTAAATAACAAAAAAAAATTTAACCCTGATTCCACGTCATCGTTACAAGAAATATGCTGTTATTACTAGTTGAAAAGATTTTGCAATCTTGTGTGGTGTAAATGTTGGCAGATGATGACTTTTTGTTCGAACTCAAAAAATAATTATAATGATTCTTGTTTTCTATTATTTAGAAGAAAAAAAAAATTGAAAAGATCTTTGAAAAAAGGTATGTATCTTTTAAATTTTGATAAGCATAATTTAAAACTTTTTTATCAAATTACTTATAAAACATTAATTATAAGGGTGAGGAAAAGAAAAGTTAAAAAGAAAACTCTAATACCAAAAGCGAGGAGTAATTGACATATATCTCCCGTACAGAATTTTAGAACGAGAAAACTTGAAAAGTCAAAAATTGAGGGAGATATTAGAAAGAGATATTAGAAAGAGATAGAAAAGTTAGGAGGAAAAGATTAGCGAGAGAATGGTAACTTCACTTGTCAATTGTAAATTTGTTTTTTTAAGAGAGTGAGAGTAAATTGTATTGAAAATAGATCTTAAATTTTATTTTGAAAAATAGATCTAAAATGTTAGTTTTAAAAATAGACCTTAAATTTTGTTTTTGAAAAATAAACATCCAATTTTTATTTTGAAAAATTGGCCTTCATTTTTCTTTTGTTGGCAAAATAGACAAACTAATACCAAACTTGTACATATGTGCCAAGTCATGCTTCCTACTAGCTTTTTGAACTCATTTATTGTTTTTTTTTTTACGATCCTTATGTTTGGTTGTTAGTTTGTTAAGGAAAAGATATGATGATCATTTAAATTAAATATATAAAAACATATAAAGTTAACCAATGATAATGTCCATATGACTTATTTTTAACTGTATAACATAGAACTTGATGCCTTCAAATGACGTCAATCAATTTATTTGAGTACTGTTAGTAGTAGTAATATAAGCCATAAAAAAAGATAGAATTAATTTTTGATAGCTTAGATTGATTGTTGAATCATGATCATGCCACCGTGACAAACATTTGAAGCTAATACCAATATACATGAAATGAGGACACTCGGGATAATTGACCACCATGGAAAGAGGCTATTACGATGTTCCTCAAATACAAACTTAGAGACATATCCAGATTTTTATATGTGCTCTCCCATGTTCAAATTTTGACGTGCTCAAGTGCAGAGACGATTCCATTGAGACCTTTTTCATTGTAGTGAGCCATGTAGCCCATCTGTAAATAGGGTTTTGCTTTGAAATTAAACTCCTTAATTGGTCCATAAATTCTACCATTCTTCAGTGGACAATTGTACATGAGAAAACATTTCATCAAAATTCTTGGCCCTATCCTTTTCGTCATCACTCTCTGATTCACACTTCTAAACCTGTAGTTGGAAATCAACTGCAAAACAATATCAAACAACAAAACCCAAAAGTATAGACTTTTATCACATACTAATGTATTTTAATAGGTTTTAATTTTCAGTGGCCTTGTTTCAGTAATATTGGCTACTGTTCATCATCTTTTACGATATCTTAAGTGCATTTCTGACTATGGAATTTGAACTTTTGTTCATGCAGATTGGAGTTCATGTCCTGATACTTGTCATTCTTATACTAGTTGTTGCATCTTCTTAGGTGATTCTTTGACTTTTTGGAAGTCTAAAAGGAAGACCACGATCTCTCTGAGTTTGAATATCGTGCTCTTGTTGGTGTTACTAGTGAATTTGTATGAGTTATTCAACTACTTGCTGATCTTCGTATCCGTTCACTTCCTTGCTATTGTGTTTTGTGACAATAAAGTTGTTGTCTCAATAGCTTCCAACCCGATCTAATTTCATGTGAACATACTAATGGTTGTGGATGGGTTTTTTAAACTTCTTCCTATTCGTTCGTCTCTTCAGTTGGCTGATATGTTCACTAACACTTTGGGCTCTACTCAACTATGTCAAAGGGAGTTTTAGTGATTTTGAATTATTAATAGTGAGATGTTTAATTCAAATCATATATGTGTATATTTAAGAGGTGAATCAATTTTTCCACCCCAAAGATCCAAAATTTTATGTCAAATGGGGCACAAATTCATATAAATGTAAGGTAAAAATATAAATTTCAAATGTGAACTTGACCATGTGTATCACTTTTTCAATTACTAAAATTACATTTTACACTAATATGTGTGGCAATAATATTCACCTACTTTATCAAGGGTGGCAAATTTTACCTTTGAGATTTTCATTTGAAAATTTGTTTTAAAAAAAAATCTCGCGTGTCAAATGAGTTATAAAACATATATTTGACATGAAATTGATAGAATTTAGACAAAAACGATAAATTAAACTAGATTTTTTTATGTTGAAATTGGTAAGTTTTGACAAAGTTAGTTAATGGTGGGTTTTGTGCATTTATCCAATTTAATTTGATAAAAGCTTGATTCTTATTAAATTAATTAGTTTTTTTTTACATTATTTTTTTGTTTTTATTAATGGATGAATGAAGAGAAATTGAATAGAATTTATAAATTGCAACACTTATCATCTAAGTTTGGTGTTGAATTTGATGAAATTAAAAATTTATGGTGAAAATTGATACAAATTATCACATTCAAGAATATAAAAATGTTCTTTTTCCAAATATTAATCTTAATTAGATGCATTTATTATAAACATTAATAAACTTTTTTTAGTATAACATGTGGGGGTGGGGATCTAACTCACAACCTCTTGGTTAAAAATATATGTCAATTACCGTAAAGTTATACTCGTTTTGACTAAACAATAATATTGAAAATCAAACTATACTAAATAATTACATATAATATTACACTACATGAATTTTGACTTGCGTCTATGTTACAAATATTAAAAGTTATTTTACATCAAATATTATGAATAGATGTGTTTGATATTAGTTTGTTAAAATAAAATAGGATTGAATTGTCTATATAAATATATATAAAAAAAGATATTAAAATTTGAATATTTTGTAAATTTTATAATAAAGTTGAAATTATTTTTGTATAAATAAGTTAATGAAGAAACTAAAACAAAACTATAATACAAAATATTCCAATTTTGTATTAATGGATGAATTTAAATATATTAAAAAAGCATGGTCTATAATATAAACTTATTCGATATAAAAGTTTAAATTATTTATTCCAGTGAAAAGATATTTTTTTAACTATAAAAAGTAGAAATTATAAAAAAGATATTTTTTTAACTATAAAAGGTAGAAATTATAAAAAAAGAATATAGAAATAAAATTTCGCAACACATATGATTGGAACAAAGTATCTCATGTCATATGAAACATGTGCACCTACGACAACAGAGCTAAAGCTAAGGGTTCACGGCTATTTTTTTTAGTACAACACGAGCTATGCTTGCCTTGACAGATTCATGGCTAATAAAATGCATATATATAATATTTAATAAAAAATTTAGAAACGGGAAATGGAATAGGTTACCAGCCTGTTTTTCCAGAAAATAAGAAATGGAAATAAAATACAAGAAACAAAACCGAATATATATTTGCCGACATTCCGATGGAAATCATCGGCAAATATAAATTTTTTCCCAACGTTTTTGTAGAAACGTCGGCAAAACTTATAATTATCCATATAATTTTATTTCTGTCCGGAGAAAATGACTTCTCCCTACAAYTTTTTTAAGGAAAAATTTCGTTGGAAAAGAAATAAACTTTTTTAATGCACTCAATTTTGTCCTAATCTATTTTTTAAAAGAGGATAGTTTCTTGAACATTTCTTCTTTTTTAAAACTTAATCTCGACAAATTTTTACGTTATTTTAAATTTTGTTCCATCAACTTTCTATTCAAAATATTGATTTAGCCTAAATAAAATGGAGCAAAACAAAAGTCATTGAAAGTGACTGTTATAGTTACAGTTACAGTGATCTTCAAATCCATTGTTATATTGCACAAGACATATTTGATTATGAAGTTTAATATAAAATGTAATGATCATCTTCACCATAGTAGCTCATAGTTTGAAGTGTTCAAGTGCAGAGACTCCATTAAGGCCCTTTGAATAGTAATGTGCCACAAAGTTCTTGATGGTTGTTTCTCTGTACAGTGGTGGATTCTCCTCAGAAATCAACTCCTTAATCGGTCCATAAACTTTCAACTCACTCTCCGGTGGACAATTGTACCTAAAAAAACATGCCACTGAAATTCTTGGCCCTTCCTTTTTTGCTATCACCCTATGCTTCACACTCTTAAACCTACCATTAGAAATCAGCTGGAAAACACAACCAACAAAATCAAGATTTTAAATGTCGATGTTGAGAAAAATGTTGAGGTCTCAATTTTATGGAATCAAGATCTATAGATATTTCTGTAAAAGTTAGAAAAATTAAAAAATCATAAAAAAATATTTAAATTAACAAATAAACATTTTTTCTATTCATAAAATTTAAAATAATTAATATTAATACTATGTATATCCAAGTGACATTTTGTCAATCTTTTTTTAATATGACGGAAATGTCGATTTATATCTTACGTCGATGTCGAACCTATGAATATATGGAAATATCGACGTAGTGGCATGAACAAATATTTTTAAAAAACATAAAAATTATATAATTTGAGGCAATTACATAAATATTTATRAGTTAAATATGTATTTTCAAATATGGGATAAAGTCTAAATTTTTGAAAATGACACTATTCAAATCAAAGTGAAATACAGGAGGGGAAAAAAAGTCACATATATTAAATTTATTCTATGTAATATAATTTCACAACAAAATTTGAGGAAGTCAGCATTAAACAAGTTTCTTTTTACACAGCTGACCATAAAGTTTAAAAGTTGTTGGTTCGAAACATCACCTTATACCTAATAGATACTAAAAAAACAAATAAAGGTTAAATTACGAATTTAGTTTATAAAAATTTTAAAGTTTGTGTCTACATCCCTTATCGGCTGACACAAAATTGTGAAATTAAAATTCACAAATTTATTAGACTTTCCTTAAAACTTTCAATAACTGATATGAGTAGACACAAGTCTAAAAATTTTGGTACTAAACTCAAATTAAACTTTTTTTAAAAAAAAATACAAAACAAAACAAGAAATCGCTATGGAATAAATTTTTAAATTTTTGGTTAATAACTAAAAAATAAAAAAATATGAAAGAAGGAAGAAACAGGATCATAAGTTTGAATGGGCTTGCCTGTAACATATCGCCAAGGTTAACAACAAGAGCTCCATCGACCGGAGGAACGTCGACCCACCGCTCTCCACGGCGGACTTGGAGGCCGCCGATTTGGTCCTGCAGCAGCACCGTCAGAAAACTGCTATCGGAATGGTCACTGGTTCCCAAAGTGAGCTCCGGCTCAGGGCACGCCGGGTAGTAATGCCCAAACAGAACCAGCCCCTCGCCGCACCCCATCTCCTTCAACCGGTCCGGCCCGACCCCCAATCCTTCCGACACCAATTCCAGCAGATTCCGCCCCAATTCCATCACCCTCGCCGAGTAATTAAGGACACTGTCCCTACAGATTAAGGGCACCTCCTCCGGCCGGGCTCCCCGCGGAGCAATCACGCAGGTGATCGTGTCCCTCCAGTTGGTGGCAGCGGCCTGAAACAGATCGAAATTGGTGTTGTAGAGTACCTTTTTCGTGTAGTCGCGAGAGTAGAGATTCCTCTTCTGCTCACCGTCTTGCTCGTGGAACCGCCGGATTCCGTCGAGCATCTCCGCCGCGACCTCTGAGGGGACGCCGTGGTTGAGGACTTGGAAGAACCCCCAATTTTCGCAGGCGTCGCGGATTTGGTCGATCACGGCGGCGCGCGATTGGGGGTTTTGGGCCGCTGCTTGCAAATCGATGATGGGGATTGTGAAATTGGAGTCGTCGGATGGTGGTGGATCGGAGGAGTTCCGATTTTGGTGGATGAAGATTCTTGGGACCTTGGTGAACCCTAGGTCTACCAGGCCTTTTACCCCCAATTTGGATCCGTCTAAAGCTTTCAAATCCCTTTGCCGGTCGTAATTACCGTCGTCGGAGAAGAGGATTTCGACCGGAATTTTTTCTCCGTTGCGATTGTCCACCATTTTTGTTTTCTGTGGGTAGCCGACTGGGCTCTGCAAATGGATTTTCTTTATTTTTCTCAGTGGCTGTGGTTCAGACTTAAATTCCACTCCAGACCTTAAATCATATTTGACTTTAACACTGATGAAGTTTGGCGGTGAATATTAAGATTTGGCATCCTTATTTAATTTATGGGTATTGGCTCTTCAATCTTGTGGTCTTCATTTTCTCCCAACTGKCATTTGGGCCTTAATGATATGGACACTACTTCAATTGTGGCCCAGCCCCCGTGGCATTTTCTCATTAATACAAAAGTTCTTTTCTTTAAATAAAAAAAAAAATTCAAAATTGCACTAATATTATACGAGTGATATTAGAGAATGACGTTTAATCATATCAAAATTACTCCCAACCATCCCAATGCTAGTAAGTTAGTAGCAAGTAATTCCTTTGTAGAATTGCAAGAATCACATTCATATTATATTTGAAAAAGATTGATTCTTTAAAATGTATATATTAAATTTACATCATATATTGTGTTATTTCCCTTCCGTAGCTCATATTTCTTTCTAATATATCATTCTTTTAGCTTAATCAACTAATGGTGTAAGTAATTTTGTGCGACATATATTTCAATCAAAATATAGTGGATTTGCTTCTTTTTCAAATCAATATCTCATTTCTAAAATCTATATCATGTCTCTTATATCTCATAACCATCATAGTATGCACTAATTTGATGGAATTTGATGGAATGCGTCTACCAGTTACATTTCTGGATTGTCACATTGATCAATAAATCGTGAGTTTGAATTTCTGCCACATTTATTAAAAAAAAAAGCATC